TGCTCAGCTCGGGCTGGACTCGAACCGCTGTTGCTCAGAGCTCACACTCTTGAGCGAGCTCTTAACCAACTGAGCCACTCGGCCGGCCCTTATTTCTGTTTTAAGATCAGCGAGATGGCTCCCTTATTTAATAAGAACTTAGTCTTTCACATCGCCAGATGCCTGAGTCTGTCAAGGCTCCACTGATGACCAATTATGCAAATGGTGGGTATTTGGTGAACTCCATGTGTTCCCAGTCATAGGTATATGGGGAAAAAAGAAAGACTTGGCAGATTCTTCTCTCTGCCCTCGCGATTCTTCAGATTTCGTGGGGGAAACCAAAATAAACCAACATAATGCAGAGGTAATAAAAACATTTGTCAAGAGCCGTCAACAGCTGTGCATGATTCTATCGTAATGAAGCTACGTCACTGAGGCGAGGGTCGAAGGAAATAACGGAGCCACCAGAGGTGGATGGAGCGTTCCTGAGGAAGGAAAGCGAGTTCTCAGGAGATTTGGGGAGAGGAGTGTAGAAACATCTGTCCCAAATGGCCTGCCCAGTGTAGGTGCTCAGTAAATGTGTGTGGCATAGGATGCATGGGGACGGAATGAGGACCTGCTTTGCTTTTGGGGTAGCCTCAGTGGCATCTTCAAAGGCAGTGGCAGATGACTGCAAAATAACAGCAACACTAGCAACCCATGAAAGTGTTGTGTACACTGTCTCTGTCAGTGCATTTTACATGGTTCAGCATGGAAGGAATGGGGGTCCAATTCTTTCCCGTCATTAGGCAAGACTCCCTCACACCAATGGACGTTATCCTGAGTAAAGGATTTTAGGACTAGAGTTGGTGTAGCCAGTCACTGGGTATAGCTTTGTTTTTTTTAATTCAAATTTCCTCACCATGTCTTCACGAGAGGGTGTATTTGGTCACATGTGTGTGAAAAACCAAATGATCGAAGCCAAAAAACAGACGCAATACATGAACCTGGAGAGAGCGCGATGTTTGGATGCCAACATTTCAAGGAAAAAAAATAAAAAAGAAGCACGGGCAAACTGTTTGCCATTAGAAGCTATTTTCTTGGCACATATGATTAAAGTGTATGCAAGCCTGACAGCTCTCTCCAGGCATCAACTGTCGTGAACGGGTTCCAATTCATAACCATCTAGGACTTTCCACCGCTATGTCAGCTTTCAAAGGATAGGGTTAACTGCATGCCTGCAAATGGAGTTGGAAGTGGTTTGTTAATCTCTATTAATCTGCTACTCCTGTAACCAAATGCACATGTTTATTTTATTTTATTTTTTTCCTGCTTAAATTGTTAATGGTATTAAATTGGCCATTGAAAATGAAATCATTCTGTAGATATTTTCCTTATGGTTTCTTGAGACTGTCTCACGCTGCACGGTCTCTTTTGAGAGAACAATGGATTTTTATCAATTTCAATGATTGCCCTAACTTTTTGCAGATGCCATCCCGCCCACTTTCTACAGACCCTACTTCAGAATTGTCCGATTTGACGTCTCGGCGATGGAGAAGAATGCTTCCAATTTGGTGAAGGCAGAGTTCAGGGTCTTTCGTTTACAGAACCCCAAAGCCAGAGTGCCTGAGCAACGGATCGAGCTGTATCAGGTAGCTTTTCACTTGCGTTGTTTTAATGCACAATCGACTTGAAGTCTTAGGGTAAAAGTCTTTCTGCCGTCTTAGATGTCCTGAGCTGATGACGTAAACCGTGCTGTACATTCAGTGTCATGATACATAGGTCCTCGTTCATCATGGCTCTTACAATGAGAGCTCAGTCCTCCATCACTCAGGCAGGAGGAACCTGTAGAATGAAGTGGTGAAGCTCTGAGCATACTTCTTCAGTGGCGTGAACGGCTGGAGCACCCGCCCTTGGATGGGCTGTAGAAGTCCACCCTGTGATCTGGAAAGTCAGATAACATAGGTCCAGTTCCACTCTCAGGAGAGAAGACAGCTGGTCTTCCTTTTCTCATCCTGTGGCTGTCATCCTTGTCGCCGCTTCTTTTCCGTTTTCTTCCTTTCTACTGTGTTTTTTTCTCCCTCTGTTTTCTTCCTCCTTGCTACCTCCTGCCTCTCCATGGACTTCATCCTGTCTCCTTTGGCTCTCTGATTCTCTCTTCTCCCCACCTCAGCACACACATCCTTTGTCACCCCGGTCTTCTCTTATTTCTGGCAGCCCTGCCATTGCTCTCATTTCCCTAAGTACGTTGTTGGGTAGTTGTGTGAAAAGATGATGGTGATGATAATGATGGTGATGGCGGCGGTGGTGGTGGCGGCGGCAGTGGCGGTGGTCATGATGATGCTGGTGGTGGTGGTGATGAATTAGTGCCAAGTGACTGAGATGCCAGAGGTGTTCTTATAAGCTTCTTACTGGAGTGGAGTCTACAGGCAGTAGTGTCAGCATCACCCAGAAGCTGTGGGAAATGCAGACTCTCAGGCCCCACCCCAGACTCAATGAATCAGAACCTACCTTTGAAACAAGATCTCCAGGTGATTCTGAGGCATATGAAAGCGCTCCCCTAAGACCCCTGAGTCTGTGAGGGAGGCAGACCTATAAACAGGTCCCTGAAGTGTGTCATAGTGTCATGAGCAACGTGTGTGCAGAGAGGAGTTTGGAAACAGTTCACCAGGGAGTTGGCGTTTGGGCGGGGCCTTGAGACGTATCCGTTAAGGCAGCGTGAGGCGCGATCCTTCTCAGTGGAAGGAGCAGCTTGTGCAAAGACAAGGTCTTGAAGGGGCTGGCTGAGGGTACCAGGCACATGGTGCTCAGTCACTGGAGGTGAGGAGAGACTGGGGAGAAGGTCGCCCTCCAGGCAGAGGGAGTCTGAGGAGGATCTCCAAGGACCCCATTTAAGGAGTAAGCATGTATGACAATATGACTAAAGAGTGGATTTGAGAAAAGAGAGGAATTGACATTGTATGTGGAAACCTCTAGTTGTCCTGGATTCTAAACATTTGGAAATTTTATCAATTTGGATAAGAATTTTCTTTGTATTTGTTATGAAAACGGGGAATTACCTGAGTAGTCGGGCTTTTTACATGGGACTCAGGAGGTCAAATGTCCAAGGCAGAAGCTACCATTCCTCTTTAAAACAGAGCTCAGAGCCGGCAGAGTATCGCCTCCACCTTATTCTATTGATCAAATGAGCTATAAGCCAGCCCAGACTTAAAGGGAAAGGAAATAGACCCCATGTCTTGATGCAAAAACTGTCAAAGAAGTTGCTGCCATCTTGGCTGCACTAACCCACGGTGTACAGTAGTAGTCAGCAAACTCTGAGTGAGCGTCTCCTAGTGCCAACACCATAACTGGCGCCCCATCTAGAGATAAATCAGACTCAGCCTCCATTTTCCAGCTGCTCAATGCCTGGTGGAGGAACAGACTTGTAAATGGTGTCTCAGCTGTATGGTCTTTCCACTAATCAAGATACTCCCAGGGCACGGTTAGAGCAAAATTTGGAGAACCTGGAGCAGGGCTGTCAAACTGGCGCCTCGAGGTAATTTTTTGTGGCCCACGATGCTCTGAAATAAAATGAAAACAGAAAAAATGGTTATGAAGAAAATAGCGCTTAGGGGAGATGGAGGCAATACCGTACACACAATTCGCTTGTTAACCCTTTAACTACTGAAGACAAGTATACAAAAAATTACCTCGAGGGCCGCATGCAGCCCGCGGGCCCACTTTGACACCCCTGATCTAGAGAAATGCCTTAGAACTCATTCTTTCCAGGAAGAGAGTAGTGAGAATTTGGGGGCACTCGGCCTTCTTGGGGGCAGCACTCCTTGGGTGGGCAGGCTCATAATTACAAGGGGTTGAGCCTTCTGCCTAAATCAAGAGGTTCCTTTGAGCCCAATAACGTTTACAGCAGGCATACCTGATTAAATCAGATTGAGATAGGAGCAGGTTTACTTCATTAATAGGCACAGTATTTTCTTTAATTTCTGTTCAAACTACATTAACTGTGTTTCACTAACACCCTGGAAATTGAGGGCTACATCTGTGTTGTCTGTTCACCCTTTGTGAGGCAGCGTGGTGTAGTATTTAATCACACATGCATTGGGAACTAAACTCTCCTAATGATTCCTAATTTGCTTAATAAGCAAATTCCTAATTTGCTTATTGTGGGGGCAAAACGAAATAATGTTTATAACTGCCTGATGGATGGTGGGAACTCAACAAATGTCAGTTCCCTTCCTTTCGTGTCATCATCTCTTAGATTTTGACTTCTAAGTCTTCGATTACTTCAAGGGAAAGAGCCCTCTATTAAGTTACCTGCCTAAGCCAGTTGCCAGGTTAGGTTTAAGATTAATTTATTAGGGGCAGCCGGTTAGCTCAGTTGCTTAGAGTGCAGTGCTCATAACACCAAGGTTGCTGGTTTGATCCCCACATGGGCCACTGAGCTGCACCCTCCACAGCTAGACTGAAACAACTACTTGACTTGGAGCTGATGGGTCCTGGAAAAACACACTGTTCTCCAATTTAAGAAAAGAAAAAAAAAAAGATTAACTTATTAGCTTCAGACCACTAATAAAATCATGCAAAAATAGCTCACTGGGAGGCCATGGGATGCACTGGGTTCATGTACCATAAAGCATCAGGAGAAAAATCCTTGCACGGAACTGAGGTAAGGCTGCAAATGTTGGTGCCCTGTCGATTGGTAGAGTACAAATCTCCTAATGGGTTCCTGTTAATCAGTAGAAGATGAATGTACCGAGATGAAATAAGCTCAGTGAATTTCAAAGGAACCTTAGATTTCCTGGCTGTGTCCATAGGAGGAGAATGGAACTGTTCCTTTTTGTAGAGAGATAGGCATCCAACTTCAGATGGAGACACGATTGCCTGACAAGGGAAACCCCGCTCTACAGGATACAAGAACTTGGACAGAGGCGAGCAAAGTAAAATCCTGTCCTCCCACTTCCTCTGACCTCTTTCTTTCATATTTGCCTTGAGACTACCGCTAGTTTGTCAAGTGTGACGAAGTCTCGTTTTTAGAGACCAGTTACAAGGATCTACAAAACAGGGGCTAATTCCGAAGCCATTTCTACCCATTTGTGTCGCTGCAAAGCTGTGAAGGTTACATGGTTTTTCAGATTTGAGGACGACAGGGTAAATGGATGTTTAGGGAGCAGTAGAAGTAAACAAAGATTTTAGCGGGGAAGCGTGAATCACCACCAGCCACTTTAATGGGCATTTTACATATATAGTCAGCTCTGCAAAAGATTTTAAATGACACACGGCCCTAAGGCTTCACAGTGAAAATTCAGTGTAGATGGTGGAGGCCTGCTTTGTAAGGGACTCTATTGCTACAAAATGAAGTTTGAGCATCCTCACATTTTGGGGACCCCAGCCCTAAAGGGGTTAGTTAAAGTTGCCCCCTATTCCTAACCCCAAAAGCATGCGTGTGTGTGTGTGTGTGTGTGTGTGTGTGTGTGTGTACACACACACACACACACGTACGCACATACACATAGTTCAGCTTTCATTTCTCATTTTGCCCGAGGGTGTGTAAAATAAAAAAGAGGTCAGCCAAAAAAACTGACTGTCTGTTCAATTAGACTTGCTAAAAATGCTACTGAAAAAAAGAAAAAAAGAAGTTATACTGTGCTCCTGTTGTACAGAATTTTACGGCGTACAATCTCAATACTGACCCTCACTCCGGCGCCAAGCTGGAGACACACACGGTATAGTAACCCCCTTAAAAAAAGAAAAAAAAAAGCCTCGAGGTATAATAAACACTTTGTTTGCACAAGGCTATTAATATCTCAGGTTTTTTCAATCTGATCGAATGACATGCTTGTCGCATGAGGAAATCAGATCATTATCATGTGCATTAGGTATGACGTCACCCGGGGTCTGCTAACCCTGTGAGCAGACAGAGTCCTGTGAACAGTAGTCCTGCCACACTGTAGTCCAAGAAATGGTAATAATCGTGCAAAACGAGTAATTCTATGTTCCTTTGTAAAATGGGACTCTAGCAACATTGATAATTATTGCTAACGCAGCTTTCTCTGTGCTAGGCACTGTTTTAAGTGCGTTGTATAGATTGATTCATTTAATCCTTACAAGAACTCTATGAGGTTTATTATCGTACCTACAAGGCACCTATTATCATGTTGATTTTACAAAAGAGGAAACTGAGGCATGGAGAAGTTCAGGAAATGTGTCCAGGCCTTGCAACTCAGAAGAGGCAGAGTCAGGATTTGAACCCAGGCAGTTTGGGCCTAGAGGCTGTGCTCTTGACCACTTTACCAAACTAGCGGAAAGAAAGTAGGCCTCCGGGGTGACCAGTTAGCTCAGTTGGTTAGCGTGTGGTGCTGATAACACCAAGGTTGCCAGTTTGATCCCCGCATGGGCCACTGTGAGCTGCACTCTCCCTAAAAGAGTCAACTATGCCATTATAGCATGAAAGCATGGCTGTTCCCCAATAAAATTTAAAAAAAAAAGAAAAGAAAAAGAAAATAGGCCTTGGAGTTGGGCCTGGGTGGGTTCAAGGTGTGGCTTTGCCCCTTTGAGAGAGCTGAGGAAGTCACATCGCTGATCACATGGGTGAAACCAAGAGAAAAGCACCTACTTGGCGCGGATTCCGTAGAAGGCATGGAAACACCTAGGCCAG